ATTCAATGACACTCTTACAACTACCCATTTTAAAATTTAAAGGACAAAAATAATGGTGATATCTATGCACAAAAGATAAATGGTATCTTGTAATCAATCCCATTTTGAAAATATAAAATGAAAAAACTTTCTATAAGGTTGTGACCTTCTACTATTCTAGTAAGCTGCACCTCAAAAATCCTCTAGAAGAGAGTGTTTGGAAGTTAGAGGACCTTCTAATTGATCATGTGGACTTCGGGATATATAGTACGAACAAAAAATATTTCAAGCTATAAAAATAGCATATATTATGATAAGTTTTGTGAAAAATCTATTTTCAAGACTTACAAGTGTTTAGATATATGCTCAGTATATACCATTATTGAAATTTTAAATTTCATAGCTAGATATGAAAATAGATTTTCAAGCCATCATATGCTTTCTAACGTTGGAACTACATCTACAAGTAAAATTTAGGTGTGCACCTTACTTCTATAATATAAGGACGGCACCTTATACAATCCTCACCCATATAAAAAATATTAAAAATTTTCCGAGTTTCATTTAGTTGTTTGAATTATAAAACTAGTTGGTCCGACTGGCTAAAACCAATTAAACGTTAATTTTGACTAGTTTTCAATTGAACTTGATTTTTGGACCAGATTGCCTAAAACATCGATCGACGATCGTATCACTGGTTCGGTATTCCTCATAACTATGTAGAAGATGGCAAACTTCCAATGTCAACATCATGGGGCCTAGGTGATGTAAAAGTTATGTAAGAAACTTCACTACACTTATTAATTACATTTCCAGTTTAGTTGCAAGGAATTTGATATTTTGTAGTGTTAGAGGTACGTTGGTATTTGAATAAGGTAGAAAGCATTTTGGGAAAGGCCCATTTTTCTCATAAGAAAAGGGGAGATGGCCGTGAGTGGCGTTGTCTTCTTCATAATTTATTATTCACTAAGAGGCAGTTTGGATACCTAAAAATATATTATAGGGAAATAGACTACTAGAAAAAGTGCAAATGAAACTCAAGATATGAAATGAGAAAGAGAGATGAAAATGGAGATATTCTAGTAAGGGAAAACTTACAAAACTTTTTTACCCATATATATATATCTATATATTCTAAATCTTTTATCTCCCAGCCATCTAATTAGAATGGATGGATGTGATTATTTATGCTATAATGTCACAAGTTAGCCTCTGACCATATGATCTAGATCTGATCTCTCAAAGTATTTTATCATTAATTTTTTTTACTAAAGGTATGGTTTGCATAAGGTTCCAGTCCAATTAAGGTGCACCTCCAAAATTTATCATAAGATGTAATTTTCGTGTAAATTTATTTTAGGATTGGTTGAAAATCTATTTTCAACTCTAATTATAAAATTTTAAACTCCAAAAACAATCAAGTAGATCTATAAATATATGAAAATCTTGAAAATGGACGGTCTAGATAATGTGTTGCAAGTGCGTTATTTCTAATATTCAAAATCTTTTTCTTTTTCATATTTGTACATCTCGATGTCGGGATGATCAATTAGAGGGTTTTTCAACATTAGAACAACATTTTTCTGATCGATTTGTGAGGTTCAACCTTAATTTTACATTTCAAGATTTTCTACTAATCATATAAAGATGAAATTTGATACGTGTCATCATCTCAATAGAGTGTACTACATAAAAAATATTTAAAAAATTCTGAAAAATTAAAATAACCAAAATACCTTTGCAGCTTCTGGTGATACTTAAGACATTATATTTTTAAAAAATGTGTTTTATATTTTTTACAGTAACGAGTTTAAAAAAAGACTCAACACACTAATTTATTATCAAAATAAAAATTAAAAATAAAATAATATATAAACATGATATTGTGACAGGTTATCTCGGCTGGCAATTCAGATTGACCGGTTGGGAGATGAGAACTATAACAAAAGAAAATTTATATAGAAGCGAGGAAGTACAATTTAAGGTTTCCTAGAAGCTAACATTGAAAAGAGAAAACGAAAAATTAGACATATTAAAGATAAAAATAAAATTGGAGGAGATAAAGAGTTTCTTCAGAGAGAGATGGAGAGAGGAAAATTAGAGGAGAGAGAGAGTCTTTTGTTTAAAAAGATAAAGATTTTTTAAAAGAAAAACAAAAAAAGAAAAAAAAAAGAAAAAAAAGAAAAATGTGTCCGGTCGAGTGGAGTAGGTGTCCAGATGTTGGAAGAAATGTCGAGAGGTCCTCGTGTCTAATAAATCCCCCTCACGTGCCGATGTCTGCCTTGTCTTACGTGCTACATGTCCGCCACGTGTAACACGTCCCTCTCGAGCCAGCTAGGATAACGGTGAGGGTACGCCAATGACCTCCGTCAATCCCGCACCCCAGGTTAACGGCGCCGTTAGGGGCAGTTAGGGCAGCTTGCCCGCTGCCCGCCGTCGTTATCGGCGAACGCAAGCGGGCGCGGCACATGGGCACGGCGGCTTCCTGGAAATGGAAGCGCTCCCATTTAATTCTCGCAATAAAAAACCTTAATTTTCATAAATTCATTTAAATCATTTACTTTGTATATAGTTTACTATTTTAATCCGTAGGTTGGTGAATTGCTTGGTAGTGTGTTTGACTCATCCTTACTACTCATCCTTACTATTTTTAGTAAAATAAATTGAAGGTTGCAACGGGTCAGGTTTAGTGCAACCCATATTATGGCTAGGTAGGGTCCGGCCACACAAAAAAATAAATGAAAAAAAATATAATTTTTTTTATTTTTATAAAAAGTGGGTTGGGTTGGGCAAATCTCGTTAACAATGGCCTGCCCTGACCCTTAATCTATATTTTGTGGCTTAGGCTCTACTTTTTTAAAGCTAAGCTAAGCCGACAGTGCTGCTCTCGTTGTTAGCTTTAAAATAGACGGGTGACTTGTACAGTAAGAAGCACTACTTTTTTCCAAAAATGAAAAAAGTGCAGTTTGGGTATTATATTAAAAAAAATAAAGATAAATACTATTTAATAAAGTTCCTTTAATTTTTTGAAAAACACTTTATCAAAATACTATATTGTTTAGAATAATTGTTTTATGCGTGTTAGACTATTTCTACAATGGTCGAGAGGATCCATCTTTAAAGATGTAAAGATGGATGCAACCAGGTTGTATATCTAAAAATAATTATTAATTAATGGTTTAAATATTTTTTAATATAAATTATTTTAATTTTTAAAATTTATTTATTTTTCATATTCATGATTTTTATGTTAAAAATTATATATTCTTTAAAAAATAAGATCAAATTATATTTTACAAAAATATATTTAGCTTTTCTATAATACGCCGGCTTCCACATGAAAACAGTCTCCTTATCAAAATACACTACTGCAAATATCCATCAAAATACGGAATTATAACAGTTGAAAAATGGCAAAATATTAAATTATTAGCTCTTCTATATTTTTAAGTTAAAAACCTGAGCAGCACACCCATATCTTCCGTATCCGAATAACGATTCCAACCTGGGAAGACGCGTGTGCATAGCAGTAATGTGGGTGGCAATAGGGACCCAACATCTGTCATGGAGTAAGGAAAGAGGAGGCGAACGGCTTTATTTACCGGTCGAAGAAAATCGAGTGGCGTTAGCGCGAAACGGGAGTCGGTGAAAAGAAGGAAAAACCGCTTGTCCAGAACGGAAACTGCTTTTGTGGGGAGAGCGGTTTTGACTGGAAAGTAGACAGAGAGAACCCCACCAGTATGAAAATACCGAAGCTTCTGTTTACTTAAAAACTCCCCTGTTTCCTTGCCCCCCTTCTTTATTGCAACCTTCGATATCAGTACTACGACTTTGAAACTTTGAGGTTTTGGGGTCCCTTCCCTTCCCTTCCTTTAAGCTTTTACTCTGCCATTTTAATCTTTCATCTTTCCTCGAGCTTCAATACATACCTCTTCTCGGTTTGCCGTTGCCGGAAAAAGCTGGGCGGCGGCCAAGGAGGGTTTTTTTTTCCTGGTTACGCTTTCTTGTCCCTTTGGTTAACTTTGCCGTTTGATGGCGCCGGAAAAGGGGGTTTCTCCGGCGATTGAAGGGTTTTCCGGGAACAGTTTTGCGCAGTTGTTGGATTCTGGTAGCTTAGGTTTAGAAATGAGGGAAGAGGTGTGTCGAGCTCAGCAAGGTTTGGTGTCGCCGAAGCCTCATTTCTCGGGGTTTAAGCAAGGGCCTGATATGCTCGGTTTCCATGGCCATGCTAGTGACCGGAAGGATGGTTCTGCGCCGTCGATTCCTGGAATCAGTGGCAGCGATTCTTCCTCGTCTGGTTCGAGCAATAGCAGTCGGCCCAAGAGCTCTGTAATTGTAAGTGCATATGTAAGGGTGCTGAGACATGGGGGTTTTACGTTAGGGTTTGAGAACTTGGGTTTTCCTGGAGTTGATGTTTTGGGGGCGTTTGAAAACTAGGGTTTTACCTTGTGGTTGTTCATATAGATGATTTTTAATTGCATTTGTTTTCCCGAAATTGTAATAGAGAAGCGATGTTGGGGAAGCTTCAATAGAGCACAAGAAGCATAGTGGGTCGGTTGAACATGGTAATGGCGAGGCTGGAGTTCAATTCAAGAAACCGAAGGTGGATTCATCAGCCTCTGTTCCATTGAAGGTCTGCAAAACCCTGAGTGAATGTGCATGTGTTTCCCCATATGCCATTGATAAGAAACACCCATTTTTCTTTATTTTAGCTCCAAGCTCAATGGGACTCGTCTGTTGATTGTTGCAGGTTAGGAAAGAGAAGCTCGGAGAGCGAATCACTGCTCTGCAACAGCTTGTTTCTCCTTATGGCAAGGTACGATTACAACCCAATTCGATTCTCTCTCTCCGGAACTTATAATGTATTAAACATTGTTTTCTCTTTTTTCAGACCGACACGGCCTCTGTTCTTCACGAGGCTATGGGTTACATCCGCTTCCTCCACGACCAAGTTCAGGTTGCTTTTCTTATATATCCTTCCATTTACTGAACCCCTCTCTCATTATCATCTCCATTGTCTCTATCTTTATTCCTTTGCTTTATGCGGTTTCTCCATTGTCTCTATCTTTATTCCTTTGCTTTATGCGGTTTTATTGATTGATTGTTTCAGGTGCTTAGCACTCCCTACTTGCAACGAATTCCGCCTTCTAGCCTGCGGGTAAAATACCCCACCTAATGCAACTTTACTGAATCCATCTCTCTCTGAGCCATGAATCTTATATTCTCGTATCTGTGTTTCAGGAAGCTGGAGAAGAAGAGTCGAAGTATGATTTGAGGAGCCGAGGTCTGTGCTTAGTCCCTGTTTCCTGCACCCTTCATGTGGCAAGCAGCAATGGTGCTGATTTTTGGGCACCAGCCATGGCAAGCAATTCCTCCAAATACTGAAACAAAAAATTCAAGAAAAACAAGGAGATGAAAGATTCAACATGGTGGGTTTTTTTTTTCCCCTCCCGATTTCTTTTCTCAGTAAATGGTGAGTAAAATTGAGAGTTTTGTGTCTTTCCCCTTCTGTGCAGTGTATTCTGTAGAGAGAGAAAGCAAAAAGCTCTGCTGACCCGGACTACGGCCATGGCCTTGAATTTTTTTGGGGTAAGTAGTAGTCAGTCTAATATAAATGAGTGGACATTTTCCGGCGAATAGTTCCGGTTACCGAGCTCTGTAAATGTTTTTGTTAGCATGTCATTACATGTTTTATATGGCAAATATTGATGTGATCAAAAGTATGACTATTAGCAACCTTTGTTATTTTTACATTTTTTATATATTTCCATATATATATATATATATATATATATATATATATATTCCTTTGATGTTACATATATTTCAACTATAGCAGCCACTGCAGAGACACACTGACAACGAGTTTGAATTTTGAAGGGTAAATATAGTGTGCATTTAGTCTAGAAAGAGTGTGTTTTTCTGTGGGATATAAAGACAGGAGTGTGATGGGTGGAATGGTGTATATAATTCATATTTGTAACTGCCCCAATCCGCGTCCCAACCACTCTAAAATCAGTATGCCATTCCTCCGATAATAATACTCCTACTTTGGGCTTGGACCTCTCTCTTTTCAGCTCGATCAAAGATTCGGGCCTGGTCTTGGACCTCTTTTCAGCTCATCTATTGAGACAAATATGGTAGAAATCAATAATATCGGAATACTGGACTTGGGCTTGGGCTTGGACTTGGGCTTGGGCTGGGATTGGACTTGGACGTCTTCTCACCTTGATCAATAATTCGGGCCTGGGCTTGGACCTCTTTTAAGCTCATAGATGCAGGAAGACAAGTATGATGTTTTAAAATAGTGTGTGGCTGGTTGGCGATAAAAGAGACTTTGTTAAGAGGTCGCAGTCGCACCCAATCCCATCCCACCGAAATCAGGGCCGCATTTTGTGGGATTAATAATGTGGGGTCGGTGTCGCACCAAACCATTGAAGAAAACGATAGAGTCTACCGAAAGCAACGTATGATAGATGAGGATTTGGGACCTAAGCTTTGAGGGAGAGTGCCCCCTTTCAAACTTTTGTGTCATGAGAACTGTGGTCCGCGTGATACGAATGTGTTTCGGTGGTTGTCGCTTCTTGTAAAATAATTTTATAAGTGGGTAAACAACAAATTTATGTCATAAGTTAGTAAACAACAAATTGATGTCTCCCGCCAATTTTGAAGGGAAAGTCTTACTAAGATCATGAAATATTATCATCATCCAACCTATGATGTTACAAATTTTGTATTGAAAAATATTGTTATATTTCAAAACAAAATTGAAAAATCTTTTGTTACCATATTGTTTAATTAATGAAAATTTTATATGGAGTTTCAACGGGAAGCGTACGAGAGGCACCTTGAAAATCGACAGGAAAAGGTTGTCTTGATGATGAAAATCCCACTTATTGATTATTTCGACTATGAGATGCATGGGTATGAGGAAAAAAACAGAGAGGAATTGAAGTATTGAACGCAGCACCTTACAATATAATATTTGGAGGATTTATTTTTAAGATTTTCTAATAGTTGTAGATTGTTCGATCTGTATAGCTTCAAATTTTATAATTAGGGATGGAAATGGAAACAGGGAATAATAAGAGTTCGAATTCTGACATTGAAATAGTATCGTTTGGCAGGTTTGGAGTTGAGCAAGTGGGTGCCTTGTATATATGGCACCCTTATTAAATATATATATATATTTTGTTATTGCTAACCAATCCTACCTTAGGGTATGATTGACAATATATAATTTAGAATATTCAGAATTTTGATATTTGGATAAAGGCATTGGTAGTTGTCCTTATATCTAAAATATATATTTTCTTAAATCCAGTCTATATGATGTCCTTTTCGGGGAGCCAGAGAAAATGCATCTTAGGTCCACCAATTACTAGGTATGAGAGGATTGATTTTGGATCCCGAAGGACAAATGTATGAGATTCTTTTGTATCGGTTTTGATTGTTTATTTGTATTTTAAATTTTTTATAAATTTGAATTTTTTTTATGTTTGGCTATCAAAACTAGAATTTATTGGTCTTATGAAGACCATTGATCTTTAGACTTCTCCTTCGTTACAAAAATCAACGGACCATCCGTCAAATATCTTTCTCGACTGTTGTTATATTGCACTTGGCTTCATGTCTATCTCTATGTAAGCTTTTTTTCTTTTTGGACAACCAATTGTGAAAAAAAAAAAATTGTGGAAGAAATTTGATGGACACAAAAAACCCAACTCGAACCCTATAAAATTTGTGAAAGAAATAAAATGCAGATACTATTTCTAGTTGCAATCCTCCCCATAAGCCTCCATATCTTTATGGTGAGAATCTTTTTCCACAAATACCAAAGTTTATTAGTCACCTTACTAAGATCACCTCATAGACACCTTACTAAGATCACCTAATAGATTTCTAACACTATTCTCCAATGATAAAAGAATAAGCAGAAAAAATAAATGAATTCACATAATCTGGTGGGTAAATTATGACCTTGAAAACTAAATGTTTTTAATTACAATAAAGGGGGGCTTTTAATTTAACCACCTCAAATCTCAATAAAATAAATAAATAAATTTTTTGTTATTATTTTCACACAAAGAAAGAAGGGTAGGTGGTTTTTATAAGGTTGCAACCTTAAACAATCCAATTAAGGTGCACTTCTAAATTTTATCATGACATAATTTTGGTGTAAAACATTTTTAGGATTATCTCAAAATCTATTTTCATGTCTAATTATCAAATATAAAACTCAAAAAATGGTTAAAATCAAGTAGATCTATAAACATATGAAAATCTTGAAAATGAATGGTCTAGATAATGTGTTGCAGTATGCATTATTTTTGGGACTCAAAATCTTTTTTTTTTTTTCGTATTCATATATTTCAATGTCGGATGATCAATTAGAGGGTTTTTCAACATTAAAACAACCTTTTCTAATGAATTTTTGAGGTGCATCTTTAATTCTACATTTTGAAGTTGCAACCTTATATAAACTTTTCGAAAGAATTGTAGACAGCCCAATAGATCCACATTAAAAGATCCCCATTACGAGATAATGAAATATCTTGCTTTATCGGTCATTTCAACACGCATTGATACTATGTTTTAACCTGTAAACACCATAAAGAAATGGGGTTTTCACAATAAAGAAATAAAAAAGTCGCAATGTACAGGATATGAATAAAAACCATGAAAATGATAAAATGATAAGGGTGCAGTTGGCATACGGATGCATCCGTAGCTGTAGAGGTAAGGTGAACCTTCAAATTTTATCATGGTATATAATTTTGATTTAAAATGTTTTAGGATTATCGCAAAATCTATTTTTATATCTAATTATAAAATTTTAAATTTAAAAAATAGTTAAAATCAAGTAGATTTATAAACATATGAAAATCTTGAAAATAGATGATATAGATAATATGTTGTAAAATGTACTATTTTTGAGATTTAAATTTTTTTTATTTTTCATGGTTATACATCTCGATGTTGGGATGATCAATCAAATAGTTTTTCAACATTAAAACTACCTTTTCCCAATGGATTTTTGAGGTGCATTATAAGGTTGGATCCTTATATAAACTTTTTCCAAATGATAATGGTTGAGCGAAAAAGACTAAGGGTTAAGAGAGACGAGCCCTCTCTCCATGAAAAGGGCTCTCTAAGAAGAAGCCCCTGATCTAAGGGCATTCATGGAGTGAGAGTAAAGCAATGAAGAGAGAAATTCTCCCTCTTGCAATCTAGAGTTTTTCTTAGGTCGAGAAGAGCGAAAGAGGAGAGAGGAAGGGCCTTGAGCTCCTCAAATATATATCCTTGAGCCCAATACAATTTGATCTCCTTCTTCTCTCTTTACAACTAAAAAACTATAAAATAAAATTTTTATCAAAATTGCAAGGGCCAATGTGGGCACCACATAGTAAGAAATGGAAATTTGGGAGAGAGCTCCACAACCTAGCTACTAGCAAGACCGCCATCATTTTTGAAGCTTCCCACATCACAAAAACCCTAAACCTTCCTTCTTGTAGAATACGAGCAATTTCTTTGCTTCAGGTTCTAGAAATCTTTGCTTGACGAGGTCTGGCATGAGAAAACAGGCACAACACCGACACTCTTGGAGCTTTCCCTTATCACCAAAACTCTAAAAACTTCTTTTGTTGCAGAAGAGAGATTTTTAGTTTAGCTCCAAGAAATCTCTTTTTGGCGAGATCTGGCTATAAGGGAGGAGAGGGGTAGGTATCCGCTTGCGGTATGGGGTGAAGGATTGGTTTCTTAGCATGATTGCTCTCAATGCCAGGGATCGGAGAGGGAGAGAGGAACCCGAATCAATTCATTTTGGAGTCAGTGATAGAGAAACCAAACTTTTCAAAATTCAACTCTAACTTGAATTTTTTTGGATTTCGACAATGGGAGGTTAGTTGAATCTTGGTGGGCGTGAAGTTGGACAAAGGTGATCTAGCAGTATATAATTTTTAATCTTTTTTCTCACCAAACACTAATAATGGTCCAATCGCAATAAATTCAACTCAAAATAAAGAATAAATAAGAATAAATAAATAAATCGGTTCTCACTTGCTGTCTCTATTTACAATTTTCTTTTATTGAATAAACCAATACAATGATTTATGGGGGGAATAAGAAATAAAATGCTGCAATCCATAAAGCAAGATGCCGGAATACGACTTCAACCGGACTTAGTATAACCCACACTGAGATCAATGTTCAATCCCTGATCTTCCGAATTTGGAAACGCCCTAGCTAAACCCCTTCACAAAAATATGAGAGTAAAAACTATTTGATTGAGCCAATTGTATCCAGTCTACCCCATATCCGAACCATGTTCACATCTAGGTCCGAACCTATCCCCCCCTTCTGATTCGAGCCAAGGCTCGTGCCTAACCCAACCTTGATCCAGTCCGAGTCAACACCCGGTCTGATATTCAAAACCCCAGGCTTGTACCCATCTTAGTCCAGGTCCCAACCAAGTTCACACCTAGGTTCGAACCTAGAGCCCCTCTTGGTCCGAGCCAAGACTCGTGCCCATCCAGTCTAGATTTCAATCTAGGTGCTCACCTAGTTTAGGGTTAGAACTTAGAACTTAAACCCATTGAGTCTAGTAAGGTCCATCTGTTCTAGCCTTAGCCTAGGTCTTAGTTTAGGGTTTGCTACAATTAGACTAGGTTTGCCTTAGCTCAAGGTCCCAACTTACGCTTGTCTTAAGAATTGTTGGAAGCATATCAGCGACACCTTCAACTCCCGGTGCCAAAAAATGAATAGGCGCAGGGTGGCCACCTAACCATCCTGTACTTCTGGTCCCCAATGTATCTCTTGCGAGTCTCATAAGGGACACCACTTGTAACTTTTCAAAAACCAGTGAAAATTAAAAACATGATAAAAATCATAATTAGCAGAAAACTCCTTTGGGAGCAAGGAATGCAGTAGATTCTTCATCTTCAGGTGACATCCTTATCTGGTTATACCCTGAATAACCATCCATAAAGGAGAAGGCCTGGCAAAATTGGCTGTCGAATCAATTAGTAATTCAGTGAAAGGAAGTCAGAAGTCCTCTTTAGGACAAGCTGCATTCAAATCACGGAAGTCAATGCAGAGCCTGATCTAACTATTCTTCTTCTTGACTAATTTCTGCTTGACCGACTTAAAGGATGGGTCAATCCCCAACCTATGAACTACAACCTTGGGGTCAACATCGGGCATCTTTTGATAATGCCAGGCAAAGACATCTCGATTAGCATGTAGAAATGCAGTGTACATCTTCTTCTCTTCATGAGGCATAATAGTGGAGATGAAAGTCGGCCTTGGGTCAGTTTCATCACCCAAGTTCACCTCTTCTAAATCATCAGTTGTGGCTTGTCCACCATCTTCCAAAACTTCTGGTGCCTCTTCTATTTCCTCCTCATCAAGGGGTAAGGGGTCAGAAGTTCTCTCATGAACTTCAAACACTTCAACATTTTGTACTATGGGAAATGATCCTTCTTTTATCTCCTTCACTCTTAAACTTTCAGGTTTTTTAGATGTTTGCGCCACTTCTACTTCTTCTTGAGACTTCAGGGGAATAACTTCTTCAGGGATGAGTTCAAGGGATGATAGTGGTGGTTCTTGAGTTACCATCACAAGAGAAATTTAATCAGTCAAGAATAACCATAGAGGTAAACCAGTTTGCCCCAGGTAGCTAAGGCCCTGCTTTTGTGTATGCTGAGACGTTGTGGTCTCAATAACTGCAAAGGGCGCCAACATCCCCTTATCATCATTTAACCCTTGATTTCTTGACAGTTCATAGTCCACCTTCTTCATAATTTGATGAGCATTAGGACTATAAAGATCCCATTGTGGTAGCACTGAGGCATTTGTAGAAGAGGGACTTCGAGAGTTTTTCTGAGTACTAATACTTTTAGTTTCTGGAGTGAAACTGGGTAGAGGGACAGAAAAAGGGTTTTGGGGCAACACTTCTTTCGCCTTAGTTGTTCCCTTTCTTATGGTCTCAACCTGATTGAGCAAATCCTGAACTTGCTCCTTCAATTGAACAATAGTGGCTTGTCTTCAAACTTCATTTTGTGTTCGG